ACGGTTACGAATTTTACGAGGGTTACAAGACTTGGTTCGGAGATTCTATGGTAAGGAGTTGATTACGCTTATGGGAAGATAATTAATCACCCAAAAGTGCCATTTCCTAAGAAAGGTACCACGTCTAGCTTAGTCCTAAATTATCTCCTAAAGTATTTTATTTTCGTCAAATTATTTTTTGATTTTTGAGACTCCAATTTTTTAAGTCAAATTAAGTTTTTTATTTTTAAGCGTGGCATCGTATTGAAACGATTGTCGGACCCCTTTCGTCGGGAGACACATCGGTTCAAACATCGGATCCATTTTTTAAGTCTCAACACAACTAGTGTGCTCGAAGAACACTTGTTTATTAAAATGATTTTTTTTTTGCTAACAATAGTCCCTATCGGATAGGACACTTTGTTAAAAAGTTTTATGATTTTTTTTTGTTATTTTTCTTTCATTATTTTGTTATTTTTATTTTTTAGGGAAAGATTATCATCGGTCCCTAAAAATTAAGATACTTGACAATCTTCTACTTATTACTTACTGATCATAATTACTAAGCAAATAAATTAAAGCTACATTAATTAAATAAAAGAAAAAAATTCAAATACTGAAATTTAAATTAATAATAGGCATGCATAAAATAAATTCAAGAGTAAATTAAAACAATTATAAAATATTAAAATGACAAATTCTAACTAACTTACATGCATAAATAAACCTAAAGTTCAATTTACATTAAAAATGATTAAAGACCATTTAACATCTAAAATAAAAAATAAAAAAATGGAATAACATGCATAAAAATTAAAATTTAAAATTTATTACACATATTTTTGTTTTTTTTTTTGAATTCGGGCTAAGTCTGGAATCAATCCAGTCCAAAGAAGAAAAAAAAATTGGTTCGAGTCTGAGTTGGAATCAATCCGACCTAGAAAAGAAAAAGAAAAATTGATCCAGTCGAAAATGGGTTGGGCTAACCCTAAAAAAACTAAAGCCAACCCACAAACATTTTCTCTCTTTTTTTCCTTCCTAAATTTCGGATCAAAGACCCTTTTCTTTTTTCTCTCTTCATCCCGTCTCTCCCTCTTTTTTTCTTTCTCGCTTTCCTCTTCCTCTTCCTCATCTGCCATGGACGAACCATCATTGATTCGTCCATATTTCTCTTCTTTCTTTTCTTTCGTTTTCTTCCCTTTCTTCTCTTCCTCCTTTTTCGTTTTTTTCTTTCTTTTTCTTCTTCCCTTTCCTAGCCGAAGCCAACCTCCATGGACGAACCAGGTTATGGTTCGTTCCTCCTTCTCTTCCTTTCCTCTATCTTTTCTTTCCCTTCTCCCTTTCTTCTTTTCTTCCCTTTCTCTTTTCTTTCCCTTCCCCTTTCTTCTTTTCTTCCCTTTCTCTTTTCTCTCCCTTTCCTTTTCCATCGTCTCTTTCTCTCCTATGGCTGAGGCTCGCCATGGACGAACCGATGGAGGTTCATCCATGGCCGGCCCCCTAATTTTCTCCCTCTCACTCTATTAACCCCCTTTTCAAGTGAAATCAAAAGCCCCAAATCAAGCTGTTGAAAATATCCCCAATTCCGAACGAACCCTAAGTTTTCAATTCTTTAAATTTTTCATGCAATTGGCCTTAATTGGATTAATTTCTCTTTAAATCAAACCAAATCCCACTTATTAGGAAACCATTTCTTGAAACCCCCAAATCAATTTTGTTTTTTTTTAAAAAAAAATTCAAGAACCCTAAATTTGAATTGAAATCAATTCGACTTCAATTTGGGGTTTAAACCCCAAATTGAAACTCTAATTGACTTCAATTGAGTTTAATTCGTACTTACCAATCCCGATTTTAAGTCAATTTTAAAACCCCTAAAATTCAAGACTAACCTAAATTGACGAGTCAAAAGAAATTCGAATTCAAAGCAAAATTGAATTGATTACCTAAGAGAATGAAGGTTGAATGTGGATTGATGCTTCAAGAGGTAACTTTTGTTTCTCTTTTTTGGATTTTTATTCGTCGCCAGCTTTTCCTTTTTTTTTTTTTATTGAGCTCTTTGAATTTTTGAACATCCTAGTCTTTCTAAATTTTCGACTCGACTCCCTTTTTGTTTGTGTTTCTTGTTGTTTATATATATATATATATATATATATATATATATATATATATATATATATATATATATATATATCGTGAATGTTTGATTAGTTCCCCACCATGATGGTGAAGGATTTTGTTACGGGATATGGAGTGGGGTTGATGGGATTGTGGTTGTGGGTTGTGGCGGTGGTGAGACTGCTAGGGATTGACTTGGTGAGTGTAGAGATTGTGGGTCGTGCGGGGTGGCCGACGGGAGAGGGTTGGGTGAAGATGGAGCCGCTGGAATTTGCAGCAGTAGGGTGGCTGGCAGGTAGAGGGTGCCGAGATTGTTGACTTGAGAGAAGTTGGGTAGTTGCAAGTTGAGGGAATTGATTGCTGCAAGTGGAGGGAATTGATTGCTGCTGGAATTTAGAGTTGTAATCGGGAACCAAGCCGATTCCCGCAACCGAAACCAAAGCTGTTTCCATTAAGCGAGAGGACAAAATCCCGGAAAATAGTTACGGGCGGGAGTGGGACCGGTTGTCCACTCCCGTGCAAGTTTACAAATTTTTTTCTTTCTTTTTTTTTTGATTTTTTGTAATTTTGCAATTTTGGTCCTTGAAAATCATTACTAGGTCAACTTAGTCCCCGTGTAATGTAATCGACCCTCGAATTTTGAATGATTCGATTGTATCTCCAATGAATGTAATTATTTTGAATTTAATACAATTGCATTCTTGAATATTAAATTTACATTATTTTTGTATTTTTTTTTTTGCAAATTATTAAATAAAATGGAATAAATAAAAATAATAACACCGATTAAGATAAGAAAATGAAAAAAACTTAAAATGAAATAAAAGAAAACAAATAACTAATTAAAAATAAAAAAATTCTGAAATTTTGGTTATGACAACGAGAAGGAAAAACTCGTAAATACGAAGTAGATTTATGCAATGAACGATACCAATGAATGAAATTTGTATTCTCATTTTGAATACTTTGAATGGTACATGAAACACCTATGAAGTCTCGAGTGTGCGTCGGGACACGAGAATGGTTTGAGAAGAAAATGTTAATAATGCAATTAGTTGAATGTGTTAAATATAATACCATGTGCATCACATGCATTCGGGGGTATGAACTCGAGAAAAATTATTGAGTCGTGAGACAATGCGGTTTGGTAACCGAATTGAATGGAATGGGTAACGACATAAAACCATGTGCATACTATATTATTAACACCGTTAAGCGAGGGATAATTTCGTTAACTGTGTGCTATAACGAGGGATAATTCCATTGTGAGCAATAGGTGATAATGGGATCATTGAGAGAGTAATAGAGCGATAGGTGATAACATGATCACTAAGAGATAGAACACATGGTTTTGCTAATACCTAGGGTATCCGGATTAAAATGGATGGGTAGAATGAAAAACATAACTTTATTGCATATCACGTGTATCACCCTATTTACCGAGCTTCGGCTCACACCATTGTTGTTTTCATGTTATGACGGGAAAGAGTCAAAATAGTAAAATGCTACCGGGTCCTTCAAAAAGGCTCATGTGTGACACAAGTGTACCAAAATTTCTTTTGATTGTAATTTTTGGGGTTGGGGGTGTCGATAAACATTTTGATGGTATTGTAAATAAAATTTATAATTTCTTTCGTTGTATTTATTAATATTATGTAAATTTTTTTGTACGCATTTCATTGTATGATAAGTCTTTCATGTATCGAAGCATATGTGTTCGAGATTAATTTGAAAATTGGTTGTGTCGGCGTGATGCGCTCCTCGCCTAGTTACTCCTATTTGGGTAATAGAGAGTGAACTCGGGGTGGGGGAGTTACACCATGGGTTCTTTTTGGGTAAAGTTTTAGATATTACCAACTTGGGGTTTTGTTTTTTGGAAAGAAAAATTGTTTTTTCGCTAGACTAGTAGTTTTTTTTTTTTTTTACTTATATTCATTATCCCAAACTAATTAGCTAATATTTTAGCTATTTTGGGTTTTATGATTTAATAATATTCAATGATAGATAAGATTATGGATGTAAATGAAATGTGATGGTAGTGAATATGTATTTATTTCATATGCATGATTTTTCAATCTATTTTTTTTAATGGAAGTCTCAATTTTTTGTGTTTGAGTTTTTGTAAAATTAGAAAAAAGAACAATATAAATAAATAAATATTAACCAAATTTATTTTATTCAATTTTTCGCTTTTTAAAATAAAGTAAATTTTTTTTCCAAAGTAAATATTTTTTTTATAAAAAACTTACCTAGTGTAAATAAAAAATAATAAGAAATAATAAGAAATCTAGCATAAATGAATACAAAAATTAACAAAAGCTTTTTAATCATTTTATTTTTATTTTTTTGCCTCTTTAAAATAACCTAAGATATTTTTCCAACATAAATAAATAAAAAAATTGAAAAGAATAAAATAAAATTTCCAACAATGAATAAAAAAATATAATGTAAATAAAAAACCAAAAAAAATAATAAAAAAATCTAGCATAAATGAATAAAAAATAAACAAAAACTTTTTAATCATTTTATTTTTATTTTTTTGCCTCTTTAAAATAATATAATATTTTTTTCTAATATAAATAAATAAATAAATAAAATTAAAAAGAATAAAATAAAATTTTTAATAATACATAAATAAAATATATAATTTGATTCCATTTTCGATTAACAGAATCGTTTACTCACCTTTACTTGTATACACAGCCATCCGATTTAGTGTAATTGATTTTGTTATTAACGTGATTGATAATTGTTACATGTGACTCCCTCCATCTACGCAGATAACGTGTCGAGGGGGCGGTAATATCTTTCCACCAAATCCCTCTCCACTGGTTTAGCTAGTCACTCAACCTCCCTCGGTAGCGATAAACAAATTCTAGGGTTACGATCGAAGGGGTATAGCTCCAAAGATGGATCTGGAAGTGGTTGGCCGCCACGCTCTGCTTTTCGACGACGACACCATGGCGTCTTTTGTCAACTCCACCGATGCACTTGTCGAATGGAACTCGATATCCATCGATCGTTACGACGTTCGCCACCTCCTTTCCTCTCCCCCGCCGCCTCGCTCTCGCCACCGCCACCATCCCCGCGATTCTCTCGAATCCGAGCTCGATCAGGATCGCTTCCTCGATTTAACTTCTCCCTCCTTTCTACAAGGTATTCTTTCTTTCTCTCTTTCCTTTATTATGGATAAGAATTTCCTGTCAATCTCTTGTATGACCATTTAAACTCAATTCTGTTTCCCATTTTTGGCTCCCGTAAATTAATTTATAGTCGCATCACCTTGGACTACTCTTCTTCCTTCCTCGGGGTAGTCTGTGTTTTGATCTTTAAGTCTCACGAAAGAAGGCATGAAAAACAAGTTCATGATTTATGAACACATCAGATTAATGTTCACTTTTAATCAGATCAATACCAGTTTGTAGAAGGCCAAGTTCAAGCTTTGCGTGGAGATGACCCAATAACATGTTTCGTACATGACCTGAGAACCTCATTCATACATCTTGCATTCATAAAGGGATACATTTTTTTTATAGATTTCTTCGAATTGCAGTCCCTTGCCCAACAAATTTGCAATTCCAATTAAAAACAAATCCATTTCTATTATCAACTCAACCCAGATTGCAAATTCAAGAGCGATTGAACCTCTTGGACCCATTGATTGCTATAGCAAAAATCCCAGAATGGGTATTCAACCAATGAGTTTGAAATGCCCAATTTGGGGGCTTGTATAGGTGTTTATGTATAGAGAAAAAGAATCATTGGATGGAATTGTTGGCGGCAGCGGATTAGTGCAAATTCAAGAAATTGTAATGGGAAATTTGATGATTAGCGAGGCATTAGTAATTTGCTTTTTCTTGAGGACTCAAGTTGGCGAATATTTGTAGATGGTAAGGAATATGGATCCAAAAGGGAAATGAAAGCAGAGAAATTTGGTCTCGTGAGTTTTATGATATGTAGTTTGTCGAAGACTGCCACATATAGGGCAGCAAGAAATTCTGCAGCCCAGTCAGTAGAAAACTCTTATCCTCTTATTATTTTACCTTGTGCTGCTTACTCAAAAACTTATTAATTAACAATCTCATGTTTTTTGGTTTGCTCCAAAATTTAAATTTTCAGTATTTAGGGTAAGATTTGGAAATTTATGTTATACTCGAGCTTAAAAGAATTAGCAAGAATTACTTTTATTTTAAAATATTGTTAGTTATTTAGATGTGATGGCTTTTTAGCTTGTGAAATTGGAGCTTTATGTTGTGAAATTAAAGAATTAGAAATAAAAAAAAAAAAATTGTGTATATAAATAGATATTAACTTCTGCATGCTAGAAGCTTGCACCTTGGTGCCTACCTTAACAGATAGGAGTGATTTGCTTCTCTCTCCCTCTCTCAATCTTAAGCACTTTAGTTAGTTTGTGGTTTGAGTTGTTTTTGGTATCCAAAATCAAAGGAACAATTCTTCCACTTAATCTGATTTTTAGTGTGAAGAAGGTTACCTGTGTGGATGCTATTTTTTGGTAACTCTTCTAGTTACTAGTTCTATATGTGTTGGCTACAGCACTTCTCCTTTTATAATGTTCATTTGAATACACGTAACTGGTTTAAATTAAAAATGAGTTTCCTTTTAATGTTTTGTTCTGCTAAAAAATTGGGATTTTAGGTAATAGTTTGTCATTTGTGTGAGTGGTATATGTTTTCAATTACGTTTCCCAAGTTTGCAGGATCAAAATGATTTTGCTAAAGATGTAACTTTCAGAGAGACAAGTAAGATGTTTCTTGCCATTTCTTTTTAGTGTCTACAGCTGATGCCCTTTTGATGTTGTGTATATAGTATTGATTTCATTTGAGTAAGAAGGCCTTGTGTTCAATCTGTTTTGATCTCTTTTTCCCTTATTTTCAGACTTAGATACAGAGGCAGATCAGGAGATTGCTGGTGGGTATCAAGCGGTTTCTTTTACATATCCAAACCAATACACTGACCAAAAGAGTGCTGATACGGAGTCTGTTTTTTGTCCATCTTTTCCAGTGCCTGAACACTTGGTTCGAAACTTGGTAAGTAGACACTTTTCTTACTGTTTATGTTGTACTTTCTTTTATTGTTAAATTGTGATAATGTTGTTTGTTTGATACTTGTCCAGTGTGGTCATATATAGTTGTCTAAGGTGCATGTGTTATTCTGAGGCTTACAATGTCTAAGTTTCAGATGCTCGGAGCAGAGATCGGGTTCCTGCAAGGTTTTCATTCACAGGCACCTTGTCTTCTTTTGATGTCTTGACAAGGGGTCACGCAGGTGGGATTAGGATGAAAAAAATTCATTAAATTGTTAGGAATCTTAATCTCTAGAGAGCAATTGGATGATAGATGTCTTCACTGAGCTCTGTGTTTTTATATTTATTGTTATCCTAATACATCAAGAATTGGGAGTTTTTCTTTGAAGTATTCAGCTAATGCCTGTTTTACTGGTATTCTGCTATGCTTAAATTTCCCATCATTGAGGAGGCTTTTTTTTTTTTTTTTTTTGGGTCCATTTTTCAGCCTCCAACAGAGAAGCTGCATCAGATCATTGAAAGAACTGCCATGTTTGTAAGCAAATATGGTGGGCAATCAGAAATTGTTTTGAGGGTCAAACAGGGAGACAACCCAACTTTTGGGTTCTTGATGCCTGATCATAATCTTCATCCGTACTTCAGGTTTCTTGTTGATCATGAAGAACTCCTGAAGTCTGATATTGATAGCAAATCTATAGAAGAAGAAAACATCGTGGAAAATGTGCTTGATCAAGCAGGTGGTCCAGCTGGAGCATTGTCATTGCTAGGCTCGGTTTATGGGTCTGGAGAGGATGAGACAGGCGCAACTACTGATGCCCCAGCTGCTTTGAAAAAAGACTCCAATGAAGCTGTTAATGCTGATAATGTGATCGTTTCTCCTGGATCAGAAGAAGGTGGTTCCTTTCTAAATTTTTCTGGTAAAGGCAAGGCAAGTTCCAAGCATCCAGTTATTCCTTCAAAAGAAAGAGCTCATTTGGTCAGAAGAAATCGTTCAATCAATGTAGTTAAGGCTGGAACCACAACTAGGGCTAGGAAAGAAGGTGATTTCTTGGGCATGGTTTCCTCTACTGTTGATAAGCTGCAGACTTGTGATTCATCAAGCTGGTCCAAGGTTGAAACAGCTATTGTGGAGCCTCCATCTGATTTGAAGAGGGTGGTTGAGAAGATAGTTGAGTTCATTTTGAGGAACGGGAAAGAATTTGAGGCTGTTCTTGTACAGCAGGACACTAGGCATGGGAGATTCCCATTCCTTCTGCCATCTAACCAATATCATCCCTTCTATCTAAATGCCCTTAAAAATGCTCAGGAGGTGCGTTCTCCCAAAACCTTTTTATATTGGGCTATTTGCATAGGATGCCTTGTTTATAAGAGGGGTTAATGGGTCTCACGAGGTTTGAGTTATGAGCAGCTGTGCTATCTGCAGTATGAATTTATGGAGAATTATTTGCTGGTTAAGACAGTTAGAAGTATTTCCGTTTAAATTGATTATGGTGGTTGCATCATGTATTGACCGAACATGGAGGATATTTTTAAACAACTTTGTTTTCTGCTTCTATGGCTATAACTAGTTTCATTGTCTTATGATTAAATTTGCAAATGCCATGCTTGGAAGATTTTTATATGCTCTGGCTTTCTGATTTTTCCATTATTTCTTGTCTGCAGTCAAGGTCATTTGGCACAGGCTTCATTTCTGAGAAGCATGATTCATTGGTGCATGGGATGAACATGAAAACTGCACCTGAAAAAAGCGATACCCTCTCATCATCTGACATACCTTACGATTGTAATAGGAAAGAGAAGTTTAAAATGGTCATTGGAAAGTCAAAGAAGGATGGACAGGACCCGCCTTCAAAAGCCACCCTGCCTCAAGTAGGTGTCTCTGTGGATGCAGCTGCAGCTGCTGCTATTCTTCAGGCTGCCACTAAAGGTGTTAAGAATCCCCATTTAGAAATACTATCAAAGACATCAATAAATGGCATCAATCAAGGCCCTAGCACTGAAAGTGGGAGGCCTAGTGGCTCTAGCACCTTGCTTTCCCAGTCTCAAAGTTCCATAAAAAAACTTGATCATGGTGAACCTGGGGTTTCTATTCCTGTGGCAAGTGCTATTGCACAGACAGCGGCTATTGTAGCAGCAAGTGAGGCTGATTCTTCTGAAGCCAGCTTGACAAGAGAGCAGAAGTTGAAGGCGGAGAGACTGAAACGGGCAAAGATGTTTGCAACTATGATTAAAAATGGAGCTGCTCCATTAAGAAGTGAATCATTGCGTGGATTATCTGCAGAACCACCTGAATCTAGGCTCTCTACTTCAGGCACCCAAATTGTAAACCTTGCAGACTTTGGAAAGGAAAGGGAAGGCAGCTTATGTCAGTTAGATGTTAATAATTTTAATAAAGCTGAGAAGTCTGAGAAGAAAGAATCAGCTGATGGTTATAATGAGCAACGATCAAAGAGAAGGTACCGCTCAAGATCTAAAAGAGAAGGAGAAGAAGAGGAAGAAATCCAGGATCACAAACTCTCCAGGAAGAAGAAGCGATCTCATCATTGTTCACATCATAGTGGTGATAGACACAAACGCAAAAGAAAACATGCTTTGTCCAAGGATAAAGATTATCAGCATAGGCATAAGCACAATAGTATCTACGATGATGAGAATGAGCATGCTCAAGGTAGCTTTACTGACGGGGAGCATAAACAGAAGCATTATAGTTCCTCTGATTACGAGAGTAGTGGCCATCAACATGGGTGTAAGTGTAGTTCTTTTGACTCTCATCTTAGGCACTCTCGACACAGGCATAAGCATGATTGTTCTTCTTGGCACTGGCATGAGCGTGATATTTCCTCTAATGATGGGCATCGGCACTCTCGACACAAGCACAAGCACAATAGTTCCTTGGATGATGAACATAAGCACTCCCGACATAGAAACAAGCATGATAACTCTTCTAATGAACATTTTCAACGGTCTGAACATTACCATGACCATTGTAGCTCCTCAGATGATGAGAATCAGCATCAAAGCAAATCTGTTAAGCTTGGGAAGAAATCTCTCTGGGAAAGAGAAGCAGACTTGGAGGAAGGGGAGATCCTTGCAAAATCAGATCAATCAAAAGCAAGTGAGGGTAGAGATGGTGCTAGTAGGGAAGCTTCTGTGGATTTATCAAACTCATACAATGATGTAAGGTCGTCATCTCGGCCTTCTGAAACTACTGAGGTTCCTGATCATCTTAGGGCCAAAATACGGGCCATGTTGATGGCAACCTTGTAAGTGAACACAACATGGATCTGCAGGTTTTATTGTTTTTAAATTGTTGTATTTTTTATTGTATTTGATTTTCAGTTTGCGGGTCATGGATCTGAATTGGCTGTATTCTGTACCGGGTTTTGTTAAAGATATAGTTATATGTACTTACAGCTGCTTCCCCATCTTTGATTTTTTATTTTATTTGGGTCCAAAAACGGACAATTGTAGAACCTCGACTTTTACTGTTTGGAACATAGGGATTGGTTAGAATGGCGTTCATTTCAAATTTGTACGGAAATCTTTGTTGGAAATCGTTTCTAAAGGGGCGTGATTTATGCCAAAGATTTGCTGGTTGTAACTGTTAGATGCCAAAAGTATACCTTGCAAGAAATGTGACTGATCATATTGTGTGTATATGCCACTTCACATAAATCCAGAACCCGGTTCTTTCTTTGCGTGTGCACTCTACTGCTCTCGCAAATTCACCCCCACCCATGGGAATATTAATAGTCGCCTTTATGTTAAGTTTTGCTTAAAATAGGATTTTTTATAGAGGTTTTTAGGAATGTTAGATAAGTCTGAAAGCGAAAAAGCCTCTAGAATGTTCAAGAGAAATCTAAGTATGCTCTAAAGAATTCTAGAGTCTCCCTCGGTATTCTAACATGTGCATTATCTAAATAGTTTCTTGTAGATATCCGGATAGAATATTTCTAGACAATCAATTATAGCTACTAGATTAAATAGATCTTAGCCATCCATTAAGGAGGTGGAGGACTATAAATGGGTGAGACTTTCATGTGGCCAAGACATCTAGACATCAAGAAATCTAAGAGTGTATTTTAGAGTTGTAAGCTTTAGAGAGCAATACAAAGAGTTTTTATATCTCTTGTGTGTGTCTTTCTTATTTAACAATTTTGTATAGAGAAGGCTGACTTGGTTTGACTTAGAGAAGAAGTGAGCAAAGTGCCGTACGCAAGCTTCGGAAAGGCCAAGTTCGTGACATTTAGCTTTTGTTTCGAATTGAGTATAGGATTATGGACTATGAGGAGCTTTTGAATGCCCTATTGATTTTTGAAATTGAACGAGAGATGGTACCATAATAAAAGATGGAATTTGCCCGATAAAAAATATAGGTGTTCTTTCACTTTATGCCATGGGGTTTAAGTGGAGGGAATTGGTCCGTTCTAAGCCCTTCCCTTCCTTTTTATGAGCCTAAATTTGTGTCTTTTTCCTTTTCTTTTTGTTTTGTGAGGAACACATTTTATTTTTTAAGATTGATTTTAACTTTAACCATGTTAAACATCCGATAGCAAGAGGAAATATATTAAGTAGAGCCCACATATCGGGTAACATAAATTGTCCATATTCGCAACTTGGTTGTATCTCTACTTTCTCATCTCCTGCTGAATTTTGATTGACTTATGAGAAATAGGCTAATTGGTCCTAGAGTATTTTTTTTTTTTTTTTTTTTATAGAAAAATGTCTCCAATTTTAATATTTTTTTTTATTTAGATTCCAATTTTTTTTTAATTATTAGTCAAGTCTTGACTTCTTGTTAACCACTCTTTGATTATTGTTTTCGCATGTGACGATAACGTGATTTAATAAAAGAACAACACATGTCTTGAAAAAGACACTCCCAAACATCCGAACCGATGATAGTAAAGTGAAAAAATTTAAATGATTAAAAAGCTCTTCCATTCTCAAATTAAAACACGATCCTTAAATCATTCTTAAGCTCTTCAATCTCTAACTTCCCGTCAAACAAAAACCTTTAATCCTCACTATCACCTACTCTCTCTAGAACTTGAACCTTTTGCCACCACAAACCCGGATGCAATCTTTGCCGCCACCACTAATTTTGACTCAAAGTCGGCATCAATTCTCGCTCTTTATTGAGAAAGAAGGTTTAAAAAGGAGGGGTTGTGGGACTAGGGTGGAGTCCATGTGATGTAAGAGCATCTCCCCGTCAACGTGGTCGAAGTTTGTCATTTATAGTGGTTGAAACTTTTAGTCCTCTATCATATCTTATTTAGTTGTTTTTTATTTATTTGGATCATTTTTATTTGTATGAACTTGGGCTAATTAATTAGTCTTCATGGTTTTTGAATTTTCAATTTGTTTTAGGACTTGATCGAATATGTGGCTTAGGTGAGTTATTAGATCCTTGTTTATTATGGATTCTTATTTAATTAGGAGTCCTTATTTGTTTATGAGTTCATATAACACGTGGATCCATATTTAATTAGGCTGAATTAATTAAAGTCCTAATTGAATGTGGATGACATAAGTCCAAGTCTAATTAAGAAAAGAATTCTAATTAGAAAAAAAAGTTAAATTCAACCTAGCGGAGGAAGCTCAACTCTAGCCCACTCTTTTAGGTTTTTAGGGTGAGTATTTAAGCACATTTTGTGCATCTTTTTCATTAGACGAGATAAAATTTGAATAAAAAATTAAATAGTTTTCTCGAAACTTCTTTGAGTATTTTCTCTATTTGGATTGGCTATGACTTCGTGACATTATTGGAGTGATCGACTAAGGTGGATTTAAATCGACAATTGTATCGAGTGGAATCTTGATGAACATATCCCGTAAGTACTCTTTAAATCAACTTGGATGAATGATTCTTCTCAAAGGTGAGATATTGGGGCTTCGTATTTTTATTTCTTTTATTTTGTTTGATTGCTAAATTAAAGTTTAACTCGGATTTTAAGACTAAACAGTTTCAATCTCAAAGCTGATAACCAAGGCTAGGGAATTTTGTTTGATCTAAAATTTTGACAGTTTTTAGTTAAGGGGTTGATTTAGCTTCGTAAAAAAAAATTTTGAATAAAAATATTTGATTATGTTTTGGAGGTGTTGAAATCGTTGTAAATTCCGAAACCTATTATGTCTAGAGTTTCGACTTGTTAAAAAAAAGGTTATAGGATTTAAATTGATCTAAAATTTGACACACACATACCTCTGGATATTATCTATATTATGGTCAAGTTTAAGTTAATTTTAAGTTGATTTGCTTAGGTAACACACCTTCCTTAGTTATAATTTTGATGTTTATTGCTTGGAGATTGTGGGTTTGTGACTATGTTTATGTTTGAGGATTTATTTGATTGTGTATTGGCTTATGATTATGTGTTGATTAAGGATTGTTTGGAATCAATTTAAGGCTGGTTTATAGCTAGAGTATTTTGGCCTCGAGCTATTTGCTTGGTGCTTGTGTATTTGAGCTTCAATAGGGTTTGACATCTCTTGATCTAGCATCGGTTTAGTATTAGAGTTGAGGTTTGCTTCCTTTGTGTATTTGGCTGATTATAGAGATCGTTGTTAGAAGAGTGTTAAGCATGAACATACTAACGAAGAACATTGGGTGAGGCACAATATTTTTCACACTCGTTGCATATCACATGGCAAGGTGTGTGAATTGATCATTGACGGAGGTAGCTTTGAGAATGTAATGTCTTTAATAATGGTGGAGAAATTAGGCTTTACAATAATTAATCATCCGAATCCTTACCGATTGACTTGGTTGCGAAAGGGGAACAAGATCCTTGTCTCGAAGAGGTGTTGGTGTCGTTCTCTATTTGTAAGAAGTATGTTGACAATGTATGGTGTGATGTTATGCCTATGAATGCTTATCACTTGCTTTTGGGAAGACTTTGGTAGTATGATCGAAGGTTCATACATGATAGGTTTAGAAATACTTATTCTTTCATCTTTAATGGAGGGAAAATCACATTGCTACTAATGCGGAAGGAGGTCTAGGCTAGTTGTGTTACTACGCATGAGGAAGTTGTTTCTAAATCTATGATCATGAAGAATGGAGCATGAGAAATTAAAGAAGAAAAATTCTAGCAACTAGATGAGGGTTTTAAAGCTAAGATTTTTGAATATGATGGTGTCAAATAAGAGGTTAAAGGTGTTGATCTTATTGGTGATGAAAGCATCAAAATTTCTAGTTAAAGCATAGACGACACTATTAACATTGATAATGCCGTAGGCACTAAAGTTTTTGACAATAAATTTGAAAATGTTGCTACCACTAAAGAGCTAATCAAGAATGATATTCATAGTAGCCATGAAGTCGATTTGGAGGAGCATAGAGTCGTTGATAACTTGTTCAAAACTTTTCTATATGATGTTCACATTCGATCGCAAGAGATTATTATTGATGTTGATGAAGGGAAGTTAAATGTGTTGGATGTTACTACATCATCTGCACATATGAAGATAGAAGGAACCTTGAATTGTAGAGGCCTACATAGTAGAATGTATCAAGATCACAAAGGTGAGGTTCATGCATTGGCAAAGAATTACACTAGAACTAAGCTTGCAACGGTTTCAAATTTCAATTAAATGATGATGAAATGCATACAAAGAGGTCATGAACTTAGGTTTCTCACTTTTTCTCTTCAAAATAAATAATATTCAAAATATTTAGAACTTGTTAGCATAAGCAAATTGGTTTTGAGATGAAAAAAGACCATCTTTGGTATCCTTCATGAAAGATCATAAAAATCCCTTCTAGTCTCTTTTTAAGCCTTAGTAATTTCTTGTAATGATAGCACAAGACTAGGATCACCCTCAAATTAGATCAGAAAAAGCTCAAAATAAAAAGATAAATTACTACATAAATCAAACAAAGTTTGTCGACGATGAATGACTGAATTAAAAGCTGTAATAACCGATACTCGCTAAAACTAAACTTTAATGAAATTAAATATTGAAAACATATGAGAAATATTTTGAAAGCATGAAATAATCCATAAAAGCTTGAAAGAATATTTAGAGCGGTTATAATAGTTCTTTGATGCTCAATGAATATTTTATTGATTTTACGAGTGCATGACTAGTGATTTTTGTGTGAAATAATTATTTTATGCATGTTGTATGTACATGAAAAATGTTTTGTTTAATTAGAATATTTTTTAGAGGGGTTTTAAATTATTTTAAGTTGTTGTACCAATTTTTTGGTATGTAGTGAATATTTTATTTGAATTTTAGTGTGTATGAATAACATTTTTTAG